CATATATATTTGGTTCTCAATTTAATTAATTACATATATAAGTTGATTGACTTTTATATTGACGTTCTGCAAAGTCTGTACGATTCCTATATGATTTAAACACAATATTACTTCGTCGACTATTAAGTTTATTTGAATCAAAATCTTAAGTTCTGTGTGTGTTCAAAATAATCTTTTAAATTTACGATAACTACTGATAAGCAGTAAATTGTAAATTTCCATAATCCTTATGAAAGGTATTCTGTTTATTTAATTATTTCACAATAACTTTGTCTTGCAGCTATACTCAATATCGGTGATATGTTTTATAATAACATTAGTGGTGTGCTGCTCTTTGTCGGAGTTTCAAAACCTGGCTGGCTTCAATACGATCGGCTATATCACCAGTATGCTGTTAGTATGTTTGTTTTATGGTGCGTTGAAATCCGGGTTTATAATAAGCGTCAAAGAATGCAGGGTGATAGGTAAGAAAGAACCATTTACATATTTTTTTATGACGTGAAGTTGAAATAATATAATAAAATCTTCATCGCTTCTAATAACTTCAATACATGCATAAAAAAAAAATTAAATTTTTGTTTGTAATCTTTACAAAGCTTTATATAAATACCGAACTTTAAACAACATTTTTCCATCCGAGTTCCAAGTTTTTTCAATTTTTGGCAGGATCCAAAATTAAGAGTTTTGCCATGCAATCTCAACGCGGGCCAATGTGAATTTATCTCTTTGCATATAAAGTATAATTTAACATGACATACTTTTATTTGTCCTAATTATATTTTTAAGTATTTTAATATTTGAGCATATAATCAGGAATAAGAACATTTGCAAAGGGAAGATCTCGAATCATTTCTATTTCTTTTCTCAGATATTCATTTGAGTACTGAAGTATTTTTGATTTTCAAGAGAGTTATGAATTCTTATATTTTCACGCGTTGTGAATGTGAAAAAGATAATCAACACCTTAGTCTCATTGGAACACGGAACCTATAACGGACCCTTTATAGGTTCCGGCTTTAAACGTCAATAAAACTAAATAATAGGGGTTAAAGTATGAAATTGCCGATTTGTACTGAAAATTAAATATGTTTATTTTTTAACAATTTTTTTTAATCAAAATAGTTACCAGTATTATCCATATATTGCTGCCATCTAATAGGAAGGTCATTTATGCCTTTGCGATAGAACTCTAAGGATCTAGACTGCACAAACTGTGTGAAAGCATTTTGTACTACCTCCTAGGAAGAAAACTTCTTGTCACGTAGATAATCGTCCAAATCACGAAAATAATGGTAAGCAAGGTCTGGCGAATACGGAGGATGATGAATGGTTTCTAACTGCAGTATCTGAAGGGTCAAAACAGTTTCTCGTGCTGTATGAGGTCTCGTGTTATTATGGCAATATTGGTGAAGATCGATTCATGAGTCGGGGCTGTTTTACTGCTAGTTTTGCCAACATTGTTCGGCACAATAGACATCTGCCGTTATTGCTTGACCAGATCGGAGAAAATTATAGTGAATAATACCATGCTGAGACCAACAAACAGTTACCATTACCTTTTTATTGGTAAGTTTTGCTTCAGGACACTGTTGTGGCGTTTGACCTGGGGTCAGCCATTGCATTTTTCTTTTACGGTTATCATAAAGAATCCACTTTCATCACATATTAAAAATGATCCAATATTTCTACATTTCTGTACCGAGTTAACAAGCAACACATGTTTCAACACGCGTTTTTTTCTGCAGATCAGTCAAATCATGAGGCACCCATTTTTGGTATTTTTTTTTCGTTTTATTGATTTGCTGCAAATTATTTAATACTGTAAGTAAAGTACCGTTAAACCATGCCGCTAATTCCTGGGTAGTTTGACTAGGATCGGCTTCCACCATCTTTCATAATTCATCGTTATTCACCTGTGTGGACGGTCTTCTTCGTGGCTCGTTCTTCAAGCGAAAGTTTCCATCACGAAAGCGTTTAAACCAAAATCGCATAGTTCATTCATTAGCAGACCCCTCTCCAACCGCAACATTGATATTGCGGCTGATTGCGGGATGTTACTGCCGCGTTACTTCCGCGTCGGAACTCGTATTCAAAAATCACTCAACTTTTCACAGTATCGTTCTTTCTTGTCTAAGTTGAATAACAAAAACAATTGAAAGTCGATATTCAAATGTTTTAAAAGAAGAACATCATAGAAACCATGTCAAAAAAGTTTCTTTCGAAAATCTCAAACCATGAAGATTCTACGTCAATTCAAGTAACCTATTACAATAAAACGGCGTTTTCATATTTTAACCCCTAATATAAACGCGATAAAACTGTTTCAAAGTTGTAACGTTTTCATCAGAGTTTTTTTTTATTTCCGTGTGAAAGCAGTTGTTATTTTTTTTTTTTAGGATATGGCATTTATTTTGCTTCCGTATCTGCCGCGATGTGGGTCAACGTTATGTGCGTTGACATATGGTGGAAGATGAGGTAAGATTGCCAATTTTATTTACGAGTTCTTGTTAAAGCTTGAGTCATCATCACCATCATCAGCTCCTTTACGTCCCCACTGCATGGGCTCCGGCCTTCCTAAGAGGTACGCCCACGCGGGCGAAGTTGCTGGCAGAAAGCTACTATATAATAATATTCGCTGTATATGTTGGGTAAGACGAACGGATTTTAAAAATCATGGAGAGAAAAAACTGCGAAGAGTAAGGCAGACAAACTATATTATTAATTCTTTCCAGGGTGTAATCTAAGTATGGCAAAACTACAAAAATTTTCTAATCTGTGAGAAAATTTCCGTCATCCTGGAATAAATCTGAGGGTACTCCACTTTAAAAAAAAACTATAACTCCCTTCTGATTTTTTCCCATATCCATCCCATTCCCATATGCCCTTGAGCGCCTGTTTAATTACCTTTAGTTTATTCTTAGTGAAGAACAAACCTCAAATGAATATATAATCATTTCAGAGACACACTCCATTCTGATTTTAGGTAAACCCCCAGACAGAAAAATTTTTGAAAAAATTTTTTTATTTTTATTTGTCACGCACGACACAGGGAAATCGAACCCGGCGCCTAGTGCTTGCGAACTGTGCGGTTCGAAACCACTATAACATGGTAGTCGTCGAATGTTATACCGGCTACGATTATGCATTATTGAAATTTATGTTTCTGTTTAAGAACAGCAAACCATCGATTGAAATGATTTTTATTTGGAAATATTAGCATAGCCTTAGAATAAATTTGGTTTAAAAAGGTTTGGTAATTTCACATAACTTCGCCTTAATTCAAAGAAATACCTATAAACAAACAATATTACTTTTCACATTTGAATATTATTTATTATAATAAGTAAGTTCATATAAAAATAAATTCATTCAAGCACGCAAATTTAAATGCGGGTGCGAGTGCGCTCAAATGCGAGTTTTTTCGTGCGCTATTAGATATATTTTTTTATACTTATAATTCTTATATATTTAGCAAAAAAATATAAATTAAAATACATATAAGATCAGGGATATAAAAAAGTTAAAATGCAATCAACAAAGGAACAAGGTAGGAACAAGGTTATAGAAAAAATCATCAATCATTCTCACCAGATAAAAACAAAAAACCCGACTGCGTGAATACGAATTTTAAAAAATAGATGAAAAAATATCTTTCTACTGTGCTTGTTTGTTCTTTCTTTTTAGTTTTAATTTAAGTTAATTTTTTCATGTATTTCTTAAAATTCGTTTTGACGCAGTCGGGTCTTTTGTTTTTCTTTAAATTATTTATATTTATTTTATACTTTTTAATAACGATTCACTGACTTCGTTATAAGATGGTAAATTTCGCAATCTAGTCATTTCATTGAAAGAGTTAATATCGTGGGGATTATTAAGTAACTTGCGGTGGTCTAAATACCTAACTCGGCTCAAAGCTATATATGCTTTATTTTTTTTATTAAAAATATTTGTTCTTCATGCTTTTGCAGTTTTTTATTTTGTTTATATATCGTTTATACTTTAAATAAAAACTTAAATCAATAAGTAAGAAAATTAGCGAGAATGATTTTTTGTCAAACAACTTTAAATCGTTATATATCCTAAACTATTATTTAATTTCAATAATGAATGATAAAAGGAACCTAAGGATGATTTTAAAATATCTATTAAACGACACCCCACTTGACATAGTTCATCGATTTTTTTAGTGGCACTCGCAAGGTTAAGACAAATCGATTGACGTAAGAATCATCAAAATCGGCCTACGCATTTGGACTCTAGAATGCCACATAGAAAAAAATATACAACAGACTATGAGTCGTTCTGTTCTGCATTAGAATTTATGATTTATTTTATGTATGTATCGATTATAAAACTATTTCAGTATTACTTAGCAGAATTCTAAACTACTGGGCTTGTTTCTTTCTTTTTAATTTTTATTTAAATTAATTTTCTCATGATTTTTTTTAATTAGTTTTTTTTATATTTGTGCGGCGCGTGCACAGTGCACATGCAAGCCGCACGAGTGCTGGGTGCGCGGGGGGGGTGTGGTCTAACTTACTACAGCTAGTAATTACCTATCACGAGTGTTGCGCTCGTGAGTAAACAAAAATTTTTGTGCCATGTTTTACATTTTACTTTAATTTCGATAGAGTAAAAATAAAATAGAAATCGCATTTTACATTTTACTTTTATAAAAAAATCGCAATGTTTTTTTTTCTTCTTCATTACTAGGTCACACTAATGAGAAATGTCTTTATTAACAGCATTTTCCGTAAGTGTTGTCCTGCCATAATATAGAATAAAAGGCAACATAGGGGGCAAATTTTTTGATGCATTTTTTTTGTATTATTGTTATCTGTTAATAATTTCATTATTAATATAATTGTAGTCATATCCAGTCAGAAGTAAATAGAAGTGTACTCCAGAACTTTCTGTATGCGTGGGGAATATCTGTCAGTCTTACACTAATTACATTTCTACTGGATAAGTATCCATTGACGCCGATTTTCTATGCGGAAATGGACAAAGGAGTGTGCTGGTTTAGTGGAGGTAAGAAACAATTATACTTTGCGCCTCGTTCTCGAGATTAGTATTAATTTGATTAGATTATATTAACGAAGATTTGGAATATCAATAGATAATAAAATAATTACCTACAGTTGTGTTGTCTAAGCTAAGTTAATAAATCACCAGTTTCGTTACAGATCACCCTTCGTAAGGAACAATAAAGTAAAATATTAGGGGCTTACATTTATTGCTGTATTCAAATTCGTTTCGTTCATATTTAGGTCAAACCCAAATATTTTTTTTAGTCTTATACAACAAGAAAGATTGGCGTCATTACATATTGTTCGTGATACCAATGAGTTTGATAACTGGTGTGAACTTGGTGCTGTGGTTGCTGACTGAAGTGCACTGTGTGCGTGTCAAATCAGTAGCACAGCAACTGCATGCTGGTTCAGAAATTGCACAACGTTATCGGATGTATAAAGAAAAGTAAGATATGATAGTACTTTTTAGGGATCCGTAGTAGACATGTCCGTCTGTTCATCCGTCCGCAGTTTAGCTCAAAAACTATTTGTATTAGAAAGTTTTAATTTGGCATTAGTATACTAATAAGTTAATTACGCCGACAAATTAGAAAATTAAAATATTAAAAAAATATTTAGCGTACCTCCCATAGTGTGGAACATCTTTGGATAGGTTTTTCAAAGACATTGGGGGTGTGGGAAGGCCAATTTTCGATTTCGTAATCCGTTTGTGACTTATTTTGATATAAATGCAGCGTTCCTAAGAACAGTTCTTCGTATCTCTTGTAGTTTACAAAAGTTTTGTTCTAGTTTAGTTTCTAGAAGCAAAAAAGACGAACCGTGTCAAAAAAAAAGATGAAGTGCTACCGTGGCCTAAGATATGACATTCAACTTTACACATTCTATAATGATAATGTAGCCTACTAAAGCATATTTCCGTGAAACGCTTGACGGATCTTTAGATAGGCATCCACCCATATTAGGTACTCGTATATTGTAAAATTTAAAGAGAAAAAGTAGTATTGTAGTGTTTTTATTTAAACTTATACAGTTTTGTCAATTGATTTCAACAAACGATATTATTGCATTTTAAATCATTTTTTTTTATTGTTACAGTTTCCAGTTGACTGTGAAGCTATTTGTACTAATGAGTAGTAGTTGGTTAATTCAAACAATCGCGATCTTTATAATCAGTTCCGATGGTGAGGTGCCTGTGGTAATTAACTATTTGGACGAACTCCATGGATTGTGGTTATTCATTATTCTGGTTTTCAAACCAAAAAAGATTTACAATTACATCAGACGGAAACTTGGTACGGAAGAGATTTTATAAATTATTGATTTAATCTTTAAGTGTTAGGCTTTCCCGTCGAATGGAATCACATAAGACAAACCACAACAACACTTGGTCATTTTTAGGGTTCTGGAAACAAAAAAAGCGAAAAGCGAAATCAATAGCGAAAAGCGAATAGGGTCCATTGACTTCGCTGTCTATCTGTCACCGGGCTGTATATGATGAACCGTGACAGACAGTTGAAATTTTCACAAATAATGTATTTAAAAATAAATATTTAAGGGGCCTCGCATACAACAAACGCGTTTTTTACATTTGATTTTTTTTTTACATTTTAACTGGCTTTTGAAATATTCATTATGAATATTAATAATCGTCGTAATTTTTTACGAGAAATTAATTAAATATTATTTTCGATGCTCGCTTTTGTGGGATCACTTCTTATTTCCCTATTGGTCTCATTGACTAGCCCAATGATTTCGACTTCATTTTTCCTTTATATGAATTCTTTATTTTTTATTTATTAACGCGATTTGAAAAATTATTGAGGCGATACTGAAAAGTTGATAACGTAAATTAACCAAATTGAAAACCTAGAAGTCAATTCAGACTCAATTAATTAATTGAAATAATTCAACATGAACTAATATTTCAGGACTGAGGAAATCAAACGAAATAGGTAATGGTACGTTATCACCGCAGGCAGTCTCTACAAACATTTCAATGACGAGTGTAGTAACATCGATATCGAATTCTTCAATTCCAGCAACTTAACGGAGTACAGAAACGAAAGAAGAACGACAATCAATATTCTTTAATTTTTAGAAAGGTATGTCCCTAGCTGTTTTTTACATTACAGGAATGTTCATAATGAGATAACACAGACAAAAATATGACGTAAGAGTGGTCCGACTTTTAGGACCACTTTTTAGACAATGGGTACTAATGGTTTTTTTGTCACCAGATGGCAGATTGTCTTGTCAAAATTTGCTTGTTACGAGCGTAAACTTCAATCACACACAAATAAACCAATTCATTTTGTAAAAAATCGAGCACACTCAATAAAAACTAATCTCTGAATAAGCTGTTCTTTCATCCCGCTTAATTTAGTGCATCTTTTTCTTAGCTTCGATTTTAAAGCACTGATATTCATTGACCCGTTATTTGTTGTTGCTTTAATACACCATTCAGGTATCCCAAAATAAGCACAATATTGTATATTTGAAAAGAAACACGCATAGCTCACCGACAAAGTATGTATATTTAGCATCTTAAAGACCTCGTTCGACTCTAGAGGCAAATTCAAACTTGGCCCTTGAATGTGTTCCTTAATAAACCAAACCCACAGATCGGTACGTTCATTCCAACCATTGGTCGTCAATCCCTGAGGTCGAAATGCTACCATAGATGAGACTTACGAAAAAATTGTAAAATAATTCTTAAAATCTGCAAGCTTCATTTATTTTCGAACTGTTTTTTCGGATATTTCACAATCAACAAAATACTTTTCCAAGTTCATTATAAACCACCAAATTTAATCTATGTACCTTAGTTCGCTATATTACTATATCTCTTTATGAGCCATCCGTAACCCACAGTTGGATATAGGTCTCCTCAACCTCACGCCATTTTTTCTATCCTGGGCTTTGTGCATCCAGTTCTTTCCGCACAGAGTAGCAATATCGTCTATATGTGTATATAGCAGCAGCAATATATTCTGCTTCTGAAGACGATAATACAACACACTGTTGCTTTTGGATGATCATGATATAAGATTATGGCCATGGTAGATGGCAGACCCGCTGGTGTTTTTCTGTCCAGTCTTTCACCTGCCCAATCTGCTTCCGTAAAAGCTATAATCAAATTAAGGTTTACATTCTTCTTTTATACTAATCTTTTTTCCCTTTTAAACTATCACCCTGCATTTTCAAATACTTATAATACCGGGTATTATACGTTGGCGCAGGTCAGTGTAAAATCGCGTCTAATACCTGGTATTATAAGTATTTATAAATCTTTTGTTATTTATTCCTTTCAGGTATCGTGAGATTCTCTTTGTAGTTGTTCATAACTGATCTATTGGCCAATCAAGGTATCGACTGAGATAGCTGGTTGCAAATGTAATGCCTGGACGAGTCATCATTGACAAATAGTTAGACTTCCAATCAATTATCTGTAAGGTAATTTCAAATTTAGTTCAGCTTTCCATAGCTTGAAACATGTTTGTCATAGGTGTTTTGACTTGATTACACCTATCCATTTTATATTAATGTAAAAGTTTGTTAATAAATCTTTCTTGTAATAACTCTATTGTAGTTTTATTTCTTTTTATGTCAATTTCTATAAGAACTTGTTATATTTTCCGAATCCTTTGCTTTATACGCTTTTTGTAAGCTTTTAACTGTGTTTTTTTATAATTTCAAAATTTCCTGTAATTAGTATGTCGTCAAAAAATAGAATCAACCATACATTTTTTCCTTTATATAGACACACATCATAAGCTCATCTTTTCATATTTAGTTTTTATTCACAAAAAATATTCATGGTAACATTCCATACTTCAGGTGATTATTTGAATCCATAAAGTGCTTTATTCAATTTTAGAACATTAATTTTATTCCTTGTCATCACTCTTTGTGGTGGTAATTCTTGACTTGCCATTTCTTGTTGAAATTCTCAAGCAACCAAACATGCTTTTTTTGTGCTTGGTTTTGACATAAATACCCATTTAGTATATATTCATTTTTCTTTTCCTGGTAATTCACATTCAGTCCATTCTTCCACGTCTTGTAACTGTTTTATTTCTTTATCAATAGCATTTTCTCAATCCTTATTTTTCATAGCTCGTAGGGTCTTCAGCACTCATTGCATAAGTCATGAACATAACATAATCCTTATACTTATTTGTAATTGTATTTGTATACTTATTTGTATCTTAAACTGTCTTTCTGATCTTGTTCTATATTCTTCATTTAAGTTTTCTTCTTCGATAGTTTTTCGTTCATCTCTAGAGATTGTGTTTTCCTGTGTGTCTATTTCTTCATTTTCTATTTCTACCATTATTTGTTTATCAGAATTTTCTTCTATATCTTCTTCAGTTTTATATCTTATATCATTCTCATCAAATCGTAGACTTATCTCTTGTCACCGGTACTTCATCAATTTCAGGGTTCCACTCTCTATTCAGAAAACGGATGTTTTCTGAATAACCAAACATTCGGACAGGTATTGCTCTTTTATCCAATTTACTCTGTTTGAGCACCATTAAAGCCCATCCTTATGCACAAAAATTTATTAATTTCTAAATTTTTGCAAACAATATATATTATTGCATAATATTAGTTTCATGGTCTGTGTGTAAACATTTTTAGTTTATGTCTAAACTAGGTTGACTTGTGTATAAGACAAATAGAGCTAACATAGTTAAATTATATAATCACTCCTCAATCAGCAAAAATTGACATGTTTTATTTATTTTAGAATAAATAAACTTGACGATTAATAAGATAGTACTATTTCATTTTAAAATGAATTTAAAGTCATTTAGCAAAAAACAATATAAGTGGGTCGTGGGTAGGTACGAGGTCGATAGCGATTGCACCGTAACGGCACCTCCCTGGATACGTAGTTTCTCCACCCAATCAAGAAAACGTTTATACTTCTGTCCAGAGTGTTCTGCGCCGGCGGCGTTCGGAAAAATGGGGATCATCTTGTCCACAAGGGCAGCAACATTAAGTGGGTAACATAACCCCAACGAAGCTTCTGAGGAAGCTAATTAATATTCTAATTAATATCAAGGCCGATGAATCTGGTACTGCAACTAGTTTTATTCCAAGGATTAAAAAGCAGGCGAAGTCGGGTGTGACTACTAGGCTACTAATTACTACTATTAGTAATCTCAGTGTATTTATTATTTCTGCAACTCCTAAATTTAAATAATATAAGAAAAGTTAACCAACATACTGTGGTGTATTAATGAGTTAGTAAATAAACGTCGCTTATCGTGAACGAACGTATTTTATTTAAATAACCATCCCTCCGAATATCAGATGGCGATCCTGCCAAGCGGGCCATAGGAGTGTGAATAACTTACACTAACGTAGGTACACAATCAATTACTCTAAAGCCTAATGCTCAACCGATACATTCTAAACCATACCGAATACCGTTCACATTACGTAAAAAAATAGATAAACAAATAAAGGAAATATTAAATCAAGGAATTATTGAGGAATCTTCGAGTGCATGGAATTCACCTATACTTTTAGTCAAAAAGAAACCTAATAAAAACGGTGAAAAAGCATATCGATTGGTAATAGACCTTAGAGCTGTAAACGATTCAATACAAAATTTATCTTATCCTATTCCTAATATAACAGACATCATAGATTCACTATCAGGCGCAGTATATTTCACAAAAATTTATTTATCAAATAGCTTCTACCAATTACGGCTAGATGAAGATGGTAGAGACATAACTTCCTTCTCCGCAAACTCAAAACAATATAGAATGACACGATTACCCCAAGGTTTAAAGATAAGTCCGTCTACATTTGGTAGAATAATGTCAATGCTCTATCGGGACTCACACCGGAAAAATGATTTATTTACTGTGATGATATTGTTTGCTTTGGTCGAATATAAAAAAATAAAAATAAAAATTAATAGACGTTTTCGAAAGGCTCAGAAAAACAAATATGAAATGAAACCCCCAAAAATGTGAATTTCTTAAAAGAAAAGTAATATATTTAGGCCACCTAGTAACACAAAAGGGAGTTTTACCAGATCCTAATAAAAGTAGTAAAAAAATATCTGCAACCTAAAAACGCTGACGAAGTTCGCAGATTTGTAGCATTTTGTAATTACTTTTGTAAATTAATAAATCATTTCGCAACAATAACATTACCATTAAATAAATTATGCAGGAACCATGTGACTTTTAATTGGTCAAAAGAATGTCAAGATACTTTCGTATTATTAAAACATAAATTAACTCAACCACCAGTTCTTCAATACCCTGATTTCAGCGAAAATAATTATTTCATTCTTCAAACAGACGCAAGTCAAGTTGCGATAGGTAGCGTTAGAGTTATTACGTAAACTTATAGATAGTGTCGATTTAATATTCGAAACTCGAAATAATATAAATAAGAAGTATACAAAATATGATAAAATTAAACACGAAAAAAAATGTTTTAATCTTCGTTCCTTGTAAGAATATATTAATTATAGATTTAAGTTTCAGACAGCATTTTACTCGTGCAGAATTTGCTGATCAGTTACAAGAATTGTGTAAAAATTTAATATAAAGAAAAAAGAATTACAATGAAAAAGAAAGACAAAACGAGATACTTAATGATTATCATTTATTACCAACTAGTGGACATGCAGGTATTAGGAGTATGATTAATAATATAAAACGAAAATATACATGGTATAATTAAGATTCAGACGTAATTAAGTTTTTTACGACATGCAAAAAGTGTCAACTTATGAAACATTCAAAAAACGTAAAACAGCCTTTAGAGATTACAACGACACCATATAAACCTTTAGAAAAGATTTATTTAGATTTACTAGGTCCTCTACCAAAAGATGAAAATGATAATGTATATGCACTAACGATGTAGTGTGAAATGTCTAAATATGTGCTTGCTTTTCCGTTAAAATCAAAAGATTTCTGAATCATTTGTTAACAATTATATATGTCGCATAATCTTTTGCGAGGATCGTTTGATTTAGTTTCTATTATTTTAATTGCTAGTTATTCGATTACTTAATTACTCGATTGTAGAGAGAGCGTG